ATTTTTTTTTTTTTTTTTTTTTTTTGAACAAAACGTATATGATCTTATAAAGAGTTCTTTTATAAATTCATATTTGGAGCTGTTTGCTTCTTTCTTTTTCTTTTGGGGCAAAAGAGAAAATTATATTGTTTTTTCTTCCTTTACATAAATGTACGTGAAACACGTTGTAATCTTAAGTTCTTAACCAAATTAACTGTGTCCGTATCGCTTCTTCCTCTTCTAATCTTGTCTCTTCGACACATCCTAACAGTACTTCAACAGTCTCTCTCTCCTTCTGATTTGTTCTTCGCTTCTGCTGAAAATCATCATTCACCTGAGAATTCGTCTACGATCCGGCGATGAGTTCGGAGGAAACCAAAGTCGTCGGTAAGCTCCGATCAATCTGTATATTTCATCATCGCTCTCTCCTCAACTGATTTTTAGATCTAATTCTTTAGATGTATTGACACGATTAACATAGCTTTTTTACAATCAGAAATGTGAACGGATCCACCTTATCCGGTTTAAGAATCTGATCTAGAAAATGAATTTTTTCTTTCTTTCTAGAGTTTTGGTAAATTAATGAATTGACCTTTGGTGTAGTGCCAAGGAACTTTAGATTGTTGGAAGAGCTAGAAAGAGGTGAGAAAGGTATTGGAGATGGTACCGTCAGCTATGGTATGGATGATGCTGATGATATCTATATGCAATCTTGGACCGGCACCATCCTCGGCCCCCACAATGTATATCCATCTCTCTAACCTTGTTTACATTCTCTGTGTTTGATTGATTAAGATGCAAAAGTTGAACACTTTTCAGAGAGAATTGCTAGATAGCTATTAAAACAAAGTGTTTTTGAGTAATTATCTCTGTGCCCTTAAGTAATTAGCTGCTCTCATTTGTTTTATTATAAATTCTCTGTAGCTACATTTTCTTGTCCACTTTCTTTCTTTATTTTTTGTTGATTTAATGTTAAATTTAATTCATCTAAACAAAACAATTTTACAATAGTTGTTGCTCTGTTTTGAAATCTGTTATCTAAACAGTTTTACAGTAGTTTTTGGATACATTGTGAAACAATCTTGTCCACTTTCAATTAGAGTGGATTTTTAACTTGTTTGGTTTCTTCTGCTTTTGGGTTTTGAGTCTATGACGATGTTTGTTTTTGGTGATGAACGAATATCAGACTGCATACGAAGGAAAAATATTCCAGCTGAAGCTCTTCTGTGGCAAGGAATACCCTGAAAGTCCACCAAGTGTCAGGTTCCAGACCCGGATCAACATGGCCTGCGTCAACCCTGAAACTGGAGTGGTAACATCTCATGAGTGAATATTACTGGTATTATATATGTATATCAGCTTATTATAATTAGGAAATATATTATCATCAGGTTGAACCGAGTCTCTTCCCTATGCTCACTAACTGGCGGCGAGAATACACTATGGAGGACATTCTTGTTAAGCTCAAAAAAGAAATGATGACTTCCCATAACCGCAAGTTAGCTCAACCTCCTGAAGGTAGTTTCTGCAACACGGTGACCATCTTTGAACAATATGTGATCCAATGTGTTTTGCTTATAATAAGTCTTGTTTCCTACAGGTACAGAGGAAGCTAGGGCTGATCCAAAGGGACCAGCTAAATGTTGTGTCATGTGAAGAGAGCGGTTTGGAGGCAGTCAGCAATTTGTATTAATATAAGGGACAATGTATATAAACAACATCATTTGAAGCTTTTGCATACAACTTAATGTTATACTCTTGTTTGAGATTATATATATATGTCCACCATAACAGGTGATTATGATGATCCTAATCACTTTGTATTCTTAGTTCGTAATTCATGGATGAGTTTGGTTCAGTGAACTGGTTTAATTGCACAGTAATCCTACTCAGATCATTCTGTAGAACTAACGGATAAGGACACAATTATAATCGGATTGATGAGCAAACAAATTCAAGTTTGAAAGCTACTGTGTATGTGAAGAAAGGGGCAATAGTAAAATAAAAAGGAGTTAAAAAGAAAACATTGTGAGAGTCCCACACATCCTCTCATCCTTATGCTTTAATGAGAGTCGCGTTTACGCATATCTCTAACATGTCGAGGACACATTTGTACAAAGATACACACTAATATATATATATATATAAATATATATGAATATATATGTTCCTATCAATTTTTTTTGTTTTGGTTTATATATACACAGAGAGAGAACCAAACCTAACAAAAGAGTTTCTGTTAACTTGTGTCCTTACTAACTTCCATTCTATTTCTCATGGCTCCTTCACAAAAAGAAGGTAGTGTATACTTCCATTGGATTTCTCAGTTTGTAGTTTTTTTTTTTGTTTTCTGTAGTTAGTTATTCAAAAGATAAAAGGAATATAATTGTGTGGGTTACTTGTTCTATGTAGGAGGAAAATCTGGTAAGGAAGAAGAATATACTGCATTGGAGAAACATGTAGCCTTCTTCGACAGGAACGGAGACGGTGTCGTTTATCCTTGGGAAACCTACCAAGGTATAAGTTACAAAACATACCAAGTAATCAAATATAAATATTTCTCCATCTGAGAAAGCTTACTTAGTCAATGTTTAATTTAAAAATTATAATTTTGATTGGGTTAATAATGTAAAAAAGGATTTAGAGCGATAGGGGCAGGGCGTCTTATGTCAGCTATTGCTGGTCTCTTCATCAACATGGGACTTAGCCATAAAACTCGCCCGGTATTCTCTTTCTTTTTCTTTTACTCTTTGGTTTTGAGAGGTGTGATCAAGCATATAATATTGTAATATTAATGAAGCCATTGATGTGAATAGGGGAAGGGATTCTCACCGTTGTTTCCAATAGAAGTGAAGAATAGTCGTTTTGGCATCCATGGTAGTCACACCGACGCATACGACAAGGAGGGAAGGTTTTATTCATTTCCTCTTTAATTATCATCTTTTCTCAAAACCTTGATATATAAAGTATATATGCTAGATGTTTTCGTGTGTAAGTATTTATTAAACTTGATTACAAAAAATAAAATGCAACTTCATAAACGAGTATTATATCACATCTTTGTGAGTTTTGAAGATTTGTGGAATCAAAATTCGACGAGATATTCAAGAAGCATGCTCGCTCACATCGGAATGCTCTCACTCACAAGGAAGTTTTTCAACTGCTTAAGTCGAACAGAGACCCTGGAGACTTTGCAGGATGGTTCGTTTATTTTTTTTTATTTTTTATTTTTTACTGATTCTATATACATGCAGCTTTGTTCCGATATGTTTTAAGAGCTTTTGAAAATATATATATTTAAATACACAGGCTATCAGCATACGGGGAATGGAAAGTATTATATGAATTATGCAAAGATAAAGATGGTTTATTGACGAGAGAGGCAGTGAAGGGAGCCTACGATGGCAGCATTTTCAGAAAATTGGAGAAACAACGATTATCTTCTTCTTCTCGTAACAAGAAAGAAAAAAGATCACGTTAAATACCCATGCATATCATCTTCAACGTTTACAAATTAATCGATATACTTATGTGACTATTCTGTATATATCTTACATGAAAAGGGTAAGTTTTTGTAGTGTATACTTTACATAAACATATATGATATATTTTGTGTAATATTCCGATTAACATTTAATACCATTAGAAAATATATATTCAGGCAATAGGACTAGTCTCCGTGAAAACAAGCTATTCTATAGTTTCTCGGAGTGGATGTAAACATAAACAAAACGTTATCATTGATAATACATACATACAATACACATAAAATTAATTTTAACCTCTGAACCATACGTACTAGAACAAGTAGTAGATGAAATCAGTTTATGTGCTTCTTTCTATCACTCTACAAACTTTGCCACCACCAAGAACAAACTTAAGAGTTTCTTTCTAAGAGGTGTTGGTCTTTGCGTTATTCTGATGAGCAGCAGCATATATAGACGTATTGGGATCGGTTCTTAGGTGAGAGAGAAGGTGTTGTACATCTGGTCGGAGAGAATCTGCTGCTCTTCCGATTAAGACCAATATGTCTGGTCTCGGCTTGCTGCTACTTTGAACTGCTCCTCCTTGTCCATCGTAATGAACAACATGGTGTCTGCAACCATTTGAACAATCAATCTCCATTAAAGTCTAACAAAACTAATTAGTTGATTGTTATTAAGGATAAAGACAATGAATTCATGTTCAGGTATTGAAGAAGCTTACAAGAAATCAATAAGATCTGCAATCTGGGATGCTTCAACAGGGACCTGTGTCTGCGAGTTTTTCCCGAAAACATCTACCATTGTGCTTAAGAGAAGGGCTAGCGTCTGTTGAGGAAACAGAGAAGAAAACCAAAGTCAAAATTAAACAAGAAAGTAACACATAGTCTGAGGTTTGAAAGAGTTACCTTGTTAAAGAGCGTATGTGTGTTTGCAAGCCTCGGGAGAAGTGGTCCCATTATACGGAATACAACTCTAAGCATTGCCACATTTGTCACAGGCCGAAGGTTCTTGATGATGAGATGCGTGCCATCAAGCCATTCTTGTGGGAGATTGCTGAAAAAAGCATGAAGCAAAGCGACTATATTCCCTGGAAGAAGACACAACCATACACTTGTGAAAAAAAGCTAACATTCACCTATGGATTACAGAAGCTATATATAGTGTGTGTACCTATGGCGGTTGAGGTATTATCTTGAGCAGCCCATGTAGGATCCATCAGAGCATATCCAACAGCCGAATCTATCTCACCTTGTGATCTCTTCCCATCAGTAAGCCACCATGTTTCCCTTATCACACGTGAAGCCTCCATGTAAAGCTGCGTGTGAAAATCTGGAGGGAGCTGAGCAAGGAGAAGGCCACAAGCTTGAATCAACAGACAGGACAGTTGTTGGCATGTATAACCGCTTCTAGAGACAAAGCTCGCTGTGTTCATACAAGTAGACCTGCTTGCGCTCATGGAGTCCGTGCTACCTCCTGAGGGAGACGTAGGGAGTGCCGAGCCTTGCCCCACTCCGTTTGCAGCGCCGTGGAAGCCGCTGCCAGACTGAATAAGCGTGGACTGTATGTTGACAATTATCTGGACAAGGGAAGAGACAACCTGAGAAGCGGAGACAGGAAGCGAGAGGATCTCAATCACAGCCGTTTCAAGAACAAGTTGAGTGTAGGTTCCTGGGTCTTGGATCTGATAGAATGCTTTCTGTCCTTCAGAGGCGTTTGCTGGTCCAGGCTGAGATGCTCCTGGAGTTTTTCCATGAAGAGGTCTCGCTGAGCTGTTTAAGATGTCTGCCATTGAGCCAGACCTTGAGCTACAGTTGCTGCTAAGTGGAGGTATAACGTTGTTTACTAGATTCAGCAAAAGAGTGGCGAAGTAATCAAGAGGAGGGCATGTAGGGGAACTTGGGTTGCTGATGTACTGAGGGAATGATTCAGAGAATGGAATCTTGCTGAGACCAAGGACTCTGAGAATCTTCACAACAAGTTGCCCGGGTAGGTGACCGTAGAAATAAGCGAGTATATCACGGACAAATGTGAATCTTAGAGGATGATAAGCCAGAAAATGAGAGTAGGCAGTCAAAATCTTATCAGCTGTATCCATTGCATTGTTCTCGATGAGTCTGTACACCACTAGAGGGATAACTGGAAGCAAACGTGCCGCAATATCATCAAAGAACGTTGGATACCTGTGTTTTAACACAATTAGAAAAGGCAAAACATGACCAACTTTAACAAAATGCAACACAAAATAACATATTTCAACACATTTCCAGGTCAGACACAAGTTTGCTAAGCTCTCATTGATGGTTGGATACTTGGATGCCAACAAAACCAGTCAACCAATCAAGTCATGTAATAAAGTGAGTTTTGTTAGAGACGTTACCTGTCTTTCCAAGAAAGATGGTTCCCAAGAGCCTTCTGGAGTTCATTGCGTTTGAACACCTGCGTGAAAAGCCAATGCTCAGGAGGCCCACGGTTTGCGCAGTACATGTTAATCCTCTGCATAAGCTCTGGCCTTTCAAGTAGAATTTTCTGTAAACAAATCAAAAAACAAAATCCTTAAAAACTTATAAGATCCTACGCTTATTTCAAGTGAAAGCATGAGAACATACTGCAATTATCAAGGCGTGTGGATCATCATCACGGTCAATGAGAGCAAGAAGAAAAATATCGAGAGGAAGCATTTCATGTGTCCAGAAGAAAAACGCAAGATTTGCCTCGTGCTTGTCTAGAATCTCCTGAAAAATATATCAAGATGCAATGTAAAAAAAATGGATCAAGTAATGAAAAAAAAATTGAGGTCAATCAATCTTTAGGAACCTTTATATTGTGTCCTCGCTGAAGGTCTACATGAACTTTGTGAAGCAAAACATCTACCAAAGTGTATATGTTAGCAGTGACTTCTTCAGGTGAAACCTCTCTCAAAACCCGTGCCTGATAATAAAAGGAAAAATCATACAACTATCAATTAACAATCTGCCTAGTTGCTGCCTAGAACATTGGAAGAGACTAAGTAAAACAAACCAGATTTGAGCTGTTGACGTTATCAGGGTGGCCTTGCATCAGCATACAAGCACCAGCGCATAGATACTGACGGTGTTGAGGAAAACTGTGACTGAGGTACGTCATAACATAAGAAGGTTCAGCAGATGGTGAAAGAAGCTGAGTGCACTGGTTTATCACAGTTGTTTCAGCCTGTTGCCACGCCTGAATCGCTAAGCCCCTCTTGTCTACACGTCCGATCAAAGCGTCACGGAGAAGGGACGGGAAATGGCGCAGCGTCTTCTCTGACCAAGTATGCTGACTCGTGGCGAGGATTTGTTCCAGCATGGTTTGCAGATATACCAAGTGATCAGCATCTGAGATACCACGTGTTTTGATTGTGATAGAAAGAGTCATGATGGTTATACGGTTCAATGTCTCAGTGAACTCAGTTGGCCCCTGGTGAAATAAAATACCAATATTATTAACACTGCAATTATCTTGGCACAAGGGAGAGTTACTAACACTTACCTTTCCTTCCCGTTTCACAGAGAAGAAGTCTCTGAGTGATAAAATGAGATTCATGCATAAGTTTTCGGCTAGTCTGAATATACGGTGGTCGCCACGTTTTGCTTTCAGTGCAGAGATTATTTTAGTAACATCATACATTAAGGTTTTGCTTTTCCCTTGGTATCTGCAAAAAGGTGTACCAATAAGCATCAGTAACTTTGTTTAGTCTTAACTTGAGAAATTGTTGCTCGTTTCTACCTGTATAGAGGAAGTAAACGGTAGTTCAGAATCTCAAGAACAAGCAAAGTCACCCCAGGCTTGCTTAGCAGAGAAGCATTTCTCTGGGCCAATTGCTACAGAAAAGTTAACCAATCTCATGAATCGTCTTGTGATCAATAAGCACAAGAAGGCAAAAGAAGGAACCAAATAGCTTACACTGAAATGCGAACGGAACATTGAGTGAGGGGAAATGAGGAGCAATCTTGTGTATGTCTCAACCATAGCAATGCTAGGAACAACCTGGAGCCAGATCATTGCATCACTTAACATGTATAATATCATTGTGAGACAAAGTAGTAAACAAACCTGGCTAACAAACAAAGCTTCTTCCATCTGAAGGGCCAGTTTCAAGCACAAGTTCATTGAAAAGCCAGATAACAATGACATGGGTAATGGGGTCACTTCCTGCATCATCATTACTCTTTCGTTTGGTTGTAATCCAGGTAACTCAGCCTTCCCAGCTGATGACAACCAGTTGATAACTGTTTCACTCGCCGGTTGTGCCATGGTATAGGAAACAACCCAAAACATGCCAATCGACTTATCATCCAAATTCATATAATCCATCATGCGCTCTCCTGAAAACCCCCAAACAAGAAACAGAATAAGAGGGGAGTTTTCTCTAAGCGTCTTACTTGATAAAACAGTTTTCAGGATCTACCTTTGCTTCTCCACCACTCATCAATCTGTTTTCCCTTCAAGAGTTGGTCATTGTTTAGGTATGCCCTAGATGTTGCGCTTAGTGACCAAATCCGTAGGTTCTGACAACTGCTCACGAAGTCAAGCAACACACTTTGAGGATTATTGGGATCAGTTTTATCTTCCCTGTGAAATGATAAAATCTTTCTAGTAGTCTCCACCTGAGAGAAAACACAAATAGAGCAGAAGTTTTGATGTCAAGCTCACAGAAAAAGAAGTACAACTAACTGAATTGGGCAAGGACCTTTTTAGGATCAGAGTTCAAAGCAGTCATCACAAGCTCCACGCGCATTATTTGTGCAAGCAACCACGTCACATGATTCGTTCGAAGAATATGGTTATCATCACCGTTAAGGCGTAAGCCCAACTTGTCAATAAAATCAACAAAATCAGTACACCCACTTTTGATTAGAAAGAAGAAAATATCTGAGAAAACAAGCCACTCTTGCCAGCAATTTGCATCTGCATAGAGAGAGAGACAGGGAAAAAGCAACAGATACCAAGTTAATACCAAAACTGTCCTAGACTCCTAGTATTGCTTTTATCTTTTCTATCAAAGCCTAACTATTATCGAACTTTGAAACTTAATTTAAGCTAGAATAACTATTAGGGAAAGAACAAAACATTGCCTGAGTTGGTCAGCTTAAGAAGCTCAACAATCCTGTCAATGATAGCCTCACATATCATCTCAGAAGTGAAAACGGCACCAGGGGTAGGCCCTGCTTGTGAAGAAGGTCTATAACAGGGAGCCACAACAAGAACACGCTTCCACCAGTCTGGTGAAGGCGTAGTGCGAATAGCATGTCTAATGCAACGCACTGCTCTCTCCCAATCCAAACTTCCTTGTGGAATAGACATTGCCAGATCCTATCAAACCAAAACAAAAAAGATTCAAATTCACAAATTGCCTGCCTTAAAATCATGTACATTACACAACTAAGCTATGAAACTAATCACCTCTCCACATAAAGGTTCCCCAAGTACACTTGGATACGTAATCGGCGAGTAGCGAAGGTGAGCCACAGCTTCAACTGAAACACTGGCAGGTGTTTGAGACGATATACGATGAGTACCAAACGTTGGACAGTGAAGATGTTGGTCCAACATAAGCATATGCATAGCCATCGCGTCTCTCCTCCGGTGTATCTCCATGACAAGAGTGAACAAAGCTTCATCATCATCAGGTATGTTCTCTATAAACTGCAAACCACTGCGCAACAACTCATAAAACGGAATCCTAGATTTACCCTCGTCTACCAACACCCACATCACTTCCAAACAGCTCCTTAACCATTCAGCTAAACTCTTCTCAGTTCCCATCTCTCTCATGTCCCAGCTAACAAGCCAACTCATCATGCACTGGAAGATCTCAGCATGAGTGAAAGGTTTGAGATTAAACTCAATGCCAATCAAAATAATCTTGCAACTGATCTGACGCAGACTGTTTATAGCTGCAGCTCTTACACGCTGACTATTCCTCATAGCATTATCTCTTACAGTGACAGAACCTTGTTCATTACCTGAAGGTACAGGGACTAAAGACTGTGAAGAAGTAGCAGAAGAACCTGCTTGGTTTAGTGAGGCCTCAGCAGCGGAGACTGAAGAGAGAAGGGATGGTAAAAAGGTATCCCAGTTAATGTAACTAACTCTAAACAATGTACGCAAGGCAAAGAGAAGAAACTCGGCTCTAGGTGCATGGTTGCTACACTGCAACACCATAGTAACCAAAACAGACTCCGTGACTACCCTTAACTGATCTGGATCCTGAATAAGAGTTGGATATAAGCAAAAAAAAAAAAAAAAACTTTTAAGAGAAGATAAAAAAAAAAGGATGAAAGCTTTTTCACATTGAATTGGCTCTGAAGCTGCTCGAAGTCCACAATAAACTGCTCGTTTTCAGGTGGTAAGTCTCTACTTGGAGCATGAACACGCTTCTGAGACTTGTTCCTATTCAAAAAGGAATTGATTTTTATATTTCAAATCGATGTAAATGAAACAGGTAAGGGCAGTAGAAACTTACGGAGGATCTCGTACAGGCTCATCAGGCTTTTGCCGGCTTCCTCTCTGTTCAAAAAGGTGAGATTTTTCAGCGAGAAAAGTTTCAAAGTGGGAGAGAGATTGAGAGAGAGAGAGAAAGATTGATACATACCCCTAAGTAGAGATTGAAGAGTTCGATGATCTTGGCACGTGCAGGATGGAACTGGTATGAACGAGAAGATGAAGGAGCAGTGACTGTGCGCTGCTGTGATTGATCCATGTCACTCTTCTTCGTTTTGTGTTCTTTGATTCTTGAATGTGGTTTTGGGTTTAAAAGCTAAGCTTTTTTTTTTGTTAAGGAGAATGAGACAAGGAAACAAAGAACTCAAGTTTTGTTTCCAGTTCTGACTCGTTTATTACCAAACTCATTATGTACTAAACAGACAGGCTTACGTCAGCATTCTTTTTTTGGCGAAAACGATACATAATATGATGAGTCACAATACCTATTCTTGATTTGTATCAAAGATTTAGTCTTTGGGAGATTAACACATTGAATAAGTAGTTTGAACTGAATACATGACAGAGGAATCAAAAGGGAAGGAATAACTGCAGATTCTCATTTTTTTTTAGAATTAGATGAACTTTCTCATTGGTGATCTAAGGGTTCCACAGCAGTCTTGAATAGAAGAACATAAACCTTGTCGATCTGGAAATATATGAACCCTCCTATGGAATGAGTGACGTATGAGCCAAAGCTGGTCCCAACAATGCAGTGCCAAGCAGGGCCATATGCAGAATCAAAGTCCTGAAACATAAGATAGATGGGAGACTTTGTTTCATGAGTAGAGAGCAAAAGTGAAGTAAAAGTTTAAATTCGATGTAACATGACAGTTTTGACAAAGGTACAAAAGCTCAGGTTAGGAGAAAACGAAGAGATAAGAAACATATCAAGGTCGATTTTGAGAGAAGAAATCCATTATCAGCACAAGAAGGTAAAACAAGACAATCATGTGCCAATCATAAAAGGTAAGATTGATTGCCGTTATTAAGAAAATATAGTGAACACTGAGACAAACAGAAAGCCACTCTACTAAGTGCTGCTAACAGACAAGTGAAAACTTAATATCTTTTACTCAACTACTTTGTGAAACCTATGTAAAGCTTGTATTTGAATCTAATAAGTTTGCTACTTTCATTCACATTGGGGCCTGAAAAACAAATCTTTGCACTTGTGAGAAGCAATGCATCCACCTCTAGACAGAATTGGGCGACTTGACAAACTCTTAGCACCAAAAAATGCTTCATTTTGATCAATAAGATAAAACCAAAAGCTAACCATCAAGGCCCTCTAAGTAAGAACACTATCCCTAGGAGGAACACAATGCCTAAGCCATGTACAATTTCTATGGAAAAACTGCATAAATGAACAATTCTATATATGTGGTGGTAGACTAGTAAATAATAATACCAGATAGGTCTATCATAAGACAACCGAGTACTATGTAGAAAGAAGTTTCCATTTGGGAAAGGCTAATTTACAAAAGTAAAATGCTTCAGATTTATTATCATTAGGTAGCATTAACTCTAACAGCATAGAAAACAGAAGACATTCATGCCATTATCATCCCAATACAAAAACAACCAAGTTAAGTAGACTACTAACTCATCTCACAAACACACATCTTCAAATCAAGCAAGAACGACAAGACAATACCACAGCTTACAAAAAGAATGCTACTTTAAACATATCCCTAAGACCCATTTCATGATTTTGTGTCAAAACTTTCAAAACTCACTCCACAGAACTAGACTCCTTCTATATTGCCATAAAGACACAATCTTTAAGCCTTAGGCAGAGTAAAGATGCAACCTTTTTAAGGGCAAGAGCGAGTCTTTTGTTGTCGGCTTTACCAGGCGTGGAATTCAAGAGCTCACGGGACAAACTGAAAGCCCTGTTCTGCACAGGGAGAGGCATGTCGGAAGCTCTAACACGAACATTGAACTCGTCTTTAAGGTCCTGCTGCTCTTTAGCTTTCTTCTTCTGCTGTATCAAGCTGTTCAAGAACTTGCTTCTTCTCTCTAGTTCAAGCTCAACTCCTTCCATGTTTCTCTCTCTCTCGCATCACTCAGCTTATCGTGTCTCGTTTTTCGTTTTTTCCCTCCTTTGAATTGGAGAAAAAAACAAGGTAGACTCACTTTAGGGCTGGTTTTTAGTTCGGAGCGAGCACCATCTGTTTGAGAAAATGTCTTTGAGTTAAAGTCGTGTAGAAAACAGACAAAATTGAGTTCTTGTTTTAGCGAAAAAAGGAACTGATTTGACCAAAGATAATTTAATCCTAATTATTACACACCTTTAATTAGTGGGAATTATTGATTTGTTTGTTTTAATAGAAACTCAACCTAATTAGAGTGGTATTGGTTCGATTTTAAAATTCTATATTAAATTGATGTGTTCTTGATTTTATAGTTTATAAATTTTAATTCATATCATGTATTTTTTTTGGCATCAAATCATGTATTATGTAATTATATGGATTTAGTAATAGATTTGATTTTATGAAGAATTTAAATGGATCTAAATTGATTTTTTTATTTGTTTAATTAGTATATTCATTAATTAATTAATCCCAACAGATTTAAAGGGAGAATCGGAAAATGGAGAAATCAAAAAATCGAGAATCCCATATACAATAATTCACTAGGTTATAAAGAAATGAAAAAACAAAACTAAATCAATTAGGAACATATCTTAATATCCAACTAGGATAAGACATGCGCCTTGCGCAGGGTGAATATATATAATTAAAATAATAAATTTTAGTATTTACAAATTTAAAATTTACATATGATTGTTTTTGTATGTATTTGAAATTTTAGAATTTTGGAATTTTTATATAATTATCTATACATAGGATCAGAAACAATTTTAATTAGAAATGTAGATCAAATCTTAGAATTTAATGGATCTGATTTCATATATCTTTTCACTTTTAAGTGTTCGAATGATGGAAAATAAATGGAGTTTCACTGGGCTTGATTGGTAGAGTATTAGCAAGTTCCCTAATGTTTTTAAGACGCAATTGGTAAAATATTTGCATTTAAAATATATAAAGTTTCAAAACTAATATAATATAATTTATTTCTTTGTCTAATAATATTAGAAAATTATATTTTTTTACAAATTATTATTTTTTAAAATAATTTCATAAAAAATTATGCTAAATTTTAAATTATTTTTAAAAATTTTTTAAAAATTTTCAAATACAAATAAATTAATTATAGTCATGATTTAATATAACCATTATGATTTAATTTTTTTTTAAAAAAAATTAAAAATCAACTCAGTTTTATATCATGATTTAACAATTTAAAAATTAATTATGGTTATGAGAAGTTTATGTTCACGTGTCAATCCTACTTATCTTCCATTTTTCTCTTGCTATGTTTTTTTTATATTTTGGTTATTACTCGATATAAATATTTATTTTAAATTTTATTCTCATTTCGTTTGTTTGTTTTGACCTGAAATTTAGTAAATACTTAAGATTTAAAACAATTAAAGAGATACATACTTAGGTTAAGATTTGCACTTTATGCACAATAAGTATTTTATATTTATTATTTATTTTATATTTTTATGCATATTATAAATAATAAAATAATAAATATATATTAAATAACTAAGAAATCAGTTACAATTATGTAATAAATTGGCGTATGCATATAAATTTAACTATTACTCTTGTTTATTCACAATTAGGGTAAATAAATCAAAATAATCAATCTTATATATTGTATATGATATATAATTAAATTTAAATGATATAAACATAGTAATATAGCACACTTTTAGTATGTATATTTATTAAATGAGGTTTCTACTCATATGATTTTATGATTATTTGCATATTTGTGTAACGAAACTTTACACCAACGAATTTTTTTAATGTGAGATGTTTAGTAGTTTCAATAATTTATAATCATTTTAAAAAAACAATGACATATTTCAAAATTAAAATATTAACTTTTCAATATATGTTCAAGGCAAATATCAAAATATAAGTATGTATTTTCATACGATGTATAGTTTAATTAAAATGATATGAAATATATATAAACTAAAATTATTTCTTCATATGGTCTTATAATCATTATATTGTAGTATAGAAAAAAAAATTAAAACCTTGATCTTAAAAGTTTATGTGGGACTTTTAACAATTTTAGTAATTTATACTCATTTTGAAAAATTCGAAATACAACATACACAAAAAAAAATCTAGATTTTTCTTATATGATTAATGTAATTGTCTAATTTATTTTAATAATAAAGAAATAGAAAAAATCAAAAAAGTATACAGATTGTTATCAAATCTTTATTGTTTAAAATCATTAATTGTCATATATATATTTTAATCACATTAGGTAATTCCGTAGGTTTTATTTAAGGAAAACATGCGAAACAATAAATATTTGATATATGCGCCCGACTTTAACCTACGAAATATTATATTGCTAGAGAATATAATTTTTAAACTATACATTATATCACATGCTCTAGAATCCTTGGGATTTGAAATAGAAGCCAAAGAGCTATGCCACGTAGGATTGGGTTTATTTTCAATTTTTACAAACTTAAGGTTACAACTTTTTAAATGATTCTCAAATAATATATAGGGGATAATGAGGGAAAGAAAGACATGGCCTCCCCCGTCAATAAACATCTAAACTATTAAGACTGAAGTACAAATAGTACTTACCCCTTATAGTTGCACAAAAATTACAAGAGATTGCCACTGCCATTATAATGCACCAAAAATTTTGTTTGGGCTTTCACTAACTGAATTGTCGATTTTAAATAAGAGGTAAACTCTTATTTTTAACTTATTTTTTGGCTCAGATATTTGATCCATATTGTCTATTTTACCAACCCCAACAGATTTATACATTTAACTCTTCTTAATAATCGAACCTAAAAATCGGACCTAATTATATATATTTCCTTCGACAATTAACATACATCCGAAAAACAAGTCTTATAATTACGGTATGCCAAAAACAAATCTAACATATCACATATTTCCTAATTATACGCATTCAACATATCAAAAAAAGATATCAAATATTACCAATCCACTCACCAAAATCTTTCAACAACTTGCCAACCAAGTTATGCTTATCCCATTGATAAGAATATTCTTTTTTCCCTATTAGACAACCAATAAATAATTTACATTAATATTGATTTAAAGATATTGAAGCCTAAAGATACGTTAGTTATTCTAACAGAACAAAATCTACCACCTAATTATTCCGGCATAACCTATTCACAACCCATTTTCGACCACCAATATATATAACTTTACCCTCTACTCTCGAAATCATATCAAAATCAAAAAGATAAAATCATCAACATGTCTAAGATGACGACTTTTGCTCCTCTCACAAAACTCAGACCTTTCAAAGACAATTGGCGAGTTCAAGTCAAATGTTTACATTCATGGAAGCAAAACACACCTTTTGCTGGTGACACTTTCGAGATGGTCTTAGCAGATCAATGGGTAAGTTTCCTAACAAACGTTCCATCCTTTCACTGTATTACTAATCTCACGGATCTAATATGACTGTTTTTTTTCTTAGGGTAACAAGATCCATGCAACTAGCAAACGATCTCTCATGCAGAAAATTCAACGTGTCTTACCTACAGATTCATGGGGAGTTATTGAAAACGTTACCGTCACTGCAGCTGGTGGGCAATATCGAACTACAGACTACAAATACAAGATGGTTATAACAGAAGACTCTGTGGTATCAAGGTCAGATTTAGATGATGATAGATTTTTCTTATTTCTTCCAACCTATGGAGAAATTGAAAAGAGGGTAACAAAACAGTCAGCTTTCCTCATAGGTAATCTCAAATTCAATTATATTCGTATTGTAAAAAGGATTTGTAAGTTGAGATTTACCTATCTTATTTTTTTTTTGACTCGCAGATGTTATAGGAAGAATTCATGATCTTGGTGATGTACAGACCATTCAAGTTTCTGGCCAAGACAAAAAGAGGGTTCAGTTTCGCTTAGTTGACACAGAGTATGTTTTATAAATAAAAATACTTCCCGTCTTAAACACTTTATTTGTAAAAACTTGCTTCCTACACTAATAACATGCTTTTCTATTGTTAGAGGAAACAATATTGCATGCTGTCTCTGAGGAACATATGTCGAGCAACTAGAACCCTTTTCTGAGGCCGGAAAGGATCAAACAATTATTTGTTTGATTAGGTTTGCAAAAATCAAGGAATTTCGAGGTAGCTATTTTCATTCATTTAAATAGAAATTTTATTTTTTTACTTTTGGTTAATATATTACATTTTCTAACAGGAGAGGTGCAAATCACTAATGCTTTTGATGCCTCACGACTGTTCCTCAATGCAGTTATCCCGGAATTGACCGATTTAACTCAGAGGTTTTTTTCTGTTATGGTTCCTCAATGAAAATCGTTATCTCATTCTGATTTAAATGTATTTTAGGCTCTCAACTGATGATCTCTCTGTTTCTCTGGTCGAGAAACCGAGTGGGAAGAAGGATGGTAAAAGAACTTTTTATAACTGGAATGAGGCTGAGATCAAAACAATTTCAGAAGTCGTTGAGGCCAATCAGGTACATTATACATTTTTGGAAGTGTTATAGCACTCTTAATGGTTAGAAAGATCTAAACTACAATTGATTTTTATTATATATACTATTTAGGTGGAGATTTGCAAAATCATATGTACTGTTGAAGCAATAGATACAGATTGGTCTTGGTTCTACATTGGTTGTAACCGGCACCAAAAACGTGTCAATAAGTTACCCAAAATTGATTATGGAAGGATGACAAAAAAAGATAAGCCGGCGTTTCGTTGTGAAAATTGTCGTTCTAATATCACTAATGTGGGGCCTAAGTAAGTGATTATGAAAGCTAATCAAATTCTTGAGACTTCACAATGTATTCATTTCTGTGCTATCTATAATTACGTCCTGACTTTTTGTTTTATTTTTTTAGGTTCAAGCTACATTTGGTTGTCAAAGAGTAGAAGAGTATATGTAAAGATAAAACGATTTTTTCAAAGCAATTTCAGAGCTTTATTGGAAGTTTCATCCACTTACTTGAAAAACCAAATAACAGAGGAGGACTGAACTAGAAGAAGACAAATAAAGATGGAGTTGCAACCTATCACTCTCTGCAATCTTTCAAATAACACTGTTGTGCAATGTGGTGTTAATATTTTCGAAAAATATTTGTCTTGTAGAAGACATCATAACACTGTTGTGAATTGTGTTGTCACATAGTTTTCTTTCAAGAAAAATGGTTTTCAATAAAGTTTCTTTCAATATCAAGAAAAAGCTGATGCAAAAGTTCATAACACACTGATCAAAAATAACTTGCATGCATCTCCCTAGATAAAGGTAACATTGACATGCGTTGGTTCTTTGATATGAGTTGATACAAAAACAAGTTTCAAAATACACAGTCTTAATCCCAACAAAAACAAGCTAAATTTATACTAATACCAAATTGTTTTCCTTCGAATGTATAATGTGAAAAGAAACTAAGTTGTTTTCCTTGGTTTTTCTCAAGAGTGTGTATAACTAAATTTATAATTGTTACTCTGTAAAAAGACAAATTATATTTGGACAGAACTTTGATTTGGTATAAATGGTAATGGTTGGTTTTGAGGAATAGGAGATAATGTATATATATCTATACATTTTTATAAAATAAAATAATAATCAAGAATTGTTATTTGGAGTACCTACATTTAGTATTTTACAATTTTATATCATTGAAATTAAAATACTGTAGCTTTACTCTCTTTTTTTTTAAAACAAAACCTACATTTAGTATTTTATGGGTTTAATCCATTAAATATAATTAAAGTCTGATATATATGTATTCTTATGAAAAAGTTTGAACATAGTAGTTAATTATAAGTTCATAACCAAAGAATAATTATAATTACCAAATAAACTAAATAAAACACAATAAAAGAAAAATACAATATCGTAGTTTATAAGTGAATACTAATCACACGGAACAAGACACACCAATGTCAATAATGAATAACATATGAAATTATGATATAAAAGACACAAACAATTAAATTTATCGTATTTTCAAAAATTTAAAACATATTATTATGAAGAACAAACACCCGCNTACCAAATAAACTAAATAAAACACAATAAAAGAAAAATACAATATCGTAGTTTATAAGTGAATACTAATCACACGGAACAAGACACACCAATGTCAATAATGAATAACATATGAAATTATGATATAAAAGACACAAACAATTAAATTTATCGTATTTTCAAAAATTTAAAACATATTATTATGAAGAACAAACACCCGCGCGGGCGCGCGGGTCAAAAGCTAGTAAGTACTTAAGTAGCATGCCAATCAGATTACCCACGATTTTGTGAAGGTGGATTTTCAAAACTATCGGTCGGTTTCTTTGTTAAAAATACAAAGATTTATAAAGAAAAGAAATTTAAAATTTGTGAATACTACCCAAATCTATATGTTAGATTTTAAGGTATTTACCACAAGATATCTATCTTTACTGCATTCAAAGTTGGAGCATTTACCTAAAGAAATATATGTGTTCATATCAAGAATCCTGAAATTTAACAAATAAGTTAGAGGCTGCTACTCTTGACTTCTGCTCAATATTTACTAGATGTGAAAGAGTGCATTTTCATTTCACAAATAAAGCAATATACACTATTCTAATCCGGCCCATTGTACATTTGGACTGAGGTCAACATTTTCCAAAACCCATAAAAAAAAATTCAGAGGGTATCATTGTATCAACATCAAATCGTTACTTCGCTTTACGGCACAAAAGGGTGAGAGCTATTTGTGTTATAAATATCAACTTAAGGTCACAAATTCCAAACAACCCTAAAGAGACAACTGCATGTCACAAAAATCCAACACACATAGAACAGAAGAAACCATGAAGAAACCTTCTCTCCATCCATCACTTATCTTCTTCTTCTTAGCCACCCTCCTCCCCTTGTTCCTGACCGTCCACTCCCAACCCTCTTCACCATCATCAGACGACTCAGATTTCATCCGTACGAGCTGCAACACCACGTTATACCCTGACCTCTGCTTCTCCTCTCTCTCAAACTTCTCAAACTCCATCCACAACGACCCCACTCTCTTGGCTCGAGCCGCAATCTCCATCACTCTCTCCAAGGCTCTCAAGTTAGGCACATACCTCTCCAACGTCACAACTCTCCTCAAGAGCCAGGAGGACAATGTTCCCCACCCAACCGCAGCCGCCGTTTTTCACGACTGCTTCGAGAATCTCAAAGACGCTGTCGATGAAATGAGAGGCTCCATGAAACAGATGAGGGATTTGGTCTCCACTGGCTCGCTTGAGTCGTTCAGGTTCCAGATGAGTAACGTGCAGACTTGGCTTAGTGCGGCTTTAACCGATGAGGAGACTTGTACAGATGGGTTTAAAGACGTTCAAGACGAGCCGAGGAAAGATGAGGTGTGCGCTCGGGTCGATGACGTCAAGAAGTTGACTAGTAATGCGTTGGCTCTAGTTAACCGATGCGTTGATAAGGCGATACATTGATTTTTATTCAATCAAATATTCTTCTTTCAGTTGATCAGTTGAAAAATAAATTATTGTTTTTATATTTTGTTTGTCACGCGTGCATGATATATATAATAAGTATAACAAGATAAGCCTGTTTGTTATTGGCTGAAATCAAATTGGAGGGATATATGTACAAGTTGTTAACGCTTTTCGTTTGTGGAAATTTTATTAAAATAAATTAGTGTGTGGAATGTCGTACTCTATATTCTTCTTCTTTTGGGGTCCTTTATAACGTATAAATCATTTAAAAACCTAAAAGGTACAAAGTTGTATGAGCTGAAAATTGCTTTTAGAAAAAAAATTTCTTTTTAGAAAACAAAAATGAGTTGACTTTCTTTCAAATTGAAATTTAATGGTAGATAAAATAAGTTTGATGTCCTTGGGTTGAGTGGTGAAAAATACAAGAAACAAATTTGAAATTATCTGTGCAAAGAGAATTTGCTAAAAAATGGAAATTAAAACGTCTTAACAACTCATTTGGTCAGCAGTGCCTGCAGCTGCAACCTAAACTACACACTACAAATTTGGACATTATTTGGGAAGAATAAATCACATTATTAATATATAATGGCTGAATTTAGCAAAAAAAAAAATGGCTGATGATGTTATGTATATTAAAAATCAAAAGTATATCATGGCTGGCTAATGTATGCATGCGCTGTAATTCCACAAATACATGGACGTGATATGTTAATGCCTGGCAAACTCCAGAACTAAGTTAATTCAATGCGTTGCAACCTGTATAAGCGCATACACATGCATACAATTAACCTTTTGCTCCCAATTTCGAATATATTATGTATATTATCTGCATATGTTTATAATATGTCCCATGATCTGTGTATGATACTCCTTCTGTTTCAAAAAAGTTTATGTTTTAGAAAAAAATGATTTCACAGAGATATATTATTACATTTTCAGTGCATGTAGTAATTGTAAACTGTAAACTTTTAAAAATAATTAATTCTAATTGTTGAATTTTAATTGGCTAAAGATGTCGGAAATATTAAACACAGAAAACAAAACAGTTCTAACTAAAATTTAAGAAATTTTTTAATATATGTGAAAATTTTAATGGATCATTTTGGAATATAGGGAGTATTAGTGATGTCACTAGCGACTACCGTCCATGTATATAATCTAATGGTATGTAGTTCCATTTAAGTGCGGGAATAGAAATGATAAAATATGCTTCGCCAAACGTAGATTCGTATACATGTGATTATTCATAATATTGATACACCAACCGTAAGTGCTTATCTATTTGATCAATAATTCAATAGTGCTTCGTCAACACAGCATCAGTTAAGAGGTTCAACTCAAAAGCAATAGATAAGGGTAAACAAGAAATCCTATAAAATCAGTCGTATACGTTTGCAATCGTCTAGATGACCATGCGTCTAACACAGTTATATTTAAAGAAGAAATATGTAAACAAAATGAACAATTAAAATTTGATTAATTGGTTTTGTACACTCAGTTTCTTAAATCACATAAAATATTGCATTTCGCTAAGTTCTTTGATAGCTTTTGCGGTAGAGTAGTATAAATACAAACCAAAAATCTCTGGTCCAATAGTTGAAAAGGAAGTTCACTATAGAGAAATCAATTTATTCATTAATTTATAATTGGTTTGGAAGTATATGTTCAAGAAATAAGAACCCGTGACCCCTTTGAAGTTGACCACAATCCCATGTCTTTGTCGTCATAGCACACAGAGGATCATAACAGAAACTCTGTCACACTTGCCGAGCTTCATGTTTTTATTTTCCAATTTATAAGTAATGGATATATATGGTTAATATATCATACAACCACATTGCGTCCCTTACTAAGATATTCTATAAGTCACTGAAAATTCATTTTTGTTTGGTAAAATATGCCATCAAATTCTTCTAATATATAATGCAATTTCAAAGATTCTGATAAGTATAAAATCAAATACAAGTTACTTATTAGAATATTCTTTACAATTCTGTGCTATATAATGTGTTAGTAACGAGTATGAAATATTGGTTGAAGTTCTGCAAGAAAATTGACTTCTCTAGCTAGAATATACATAGTTGTAAAAACGCAAGTGTCTTGGTCGTAGTATTTATTAAGGAAGGGAAAGAAAAGAAGAGAAAAAGAAGAAAATCACAGGAAGAAAATAAGTAACAAAACTGAGAATGGAATGCTTCACGAGATGCACTGAAACTACAGCACTTTGGTGTCTTGTCGCAATCCCAAGGATCCCATCTCTGTTTGATCTACCTGTAATGTATTGCTTATTGTTTGACACGTGTTTATCTTCCGAATATGTTTTCTCCTTTCTAAAGTTTGGAAACTTATACAAATATTGTATTCAGTCGCCAGTCATATATAATATGTGTAATCCATTAACTCATGATGTATGTAAGATGTTGATGTTAAGAAACATTTCAATATTGTAAAATTCTCTTTCAAATTAAAGTATGTAAATCACAAATCTAATTTGAGTTTTTTTTTTAATGTTTCCTGTACTAGAAAAGATCATGGACACAGATATTATCATTGTTGATTATATAACGATGAAAAACAGTTAGGAGGACTAAATATTCTTGGTACGTAAGACTGAGTTATTGGGAAGAAGGCGAAAATTATGCAGTTTCCCAATGGGAAAATGTTTCCTTCCTTGCATTGTTATCACGAGGTTTTGGCGGTTGTTGTGATGTGTTGTTATCCTCCAGCAAGGTCTCATTATCATAAGTGTTATTAAGATCAATAAGAAGCACAGCCTTGGACTTACGGCAGTTTCTTGTGGTGGCTGATTCTTGCTTACGTTCTCTTCTTCGTATGGAAGATATTTCTCGTATATATTGGTTCTCATAGCCAAAAACCAATACGAGAGAGGTATTTTCCGGACAAAGAAGAAAAAGCCACCACACGAAACGTCACAAAAGTGCAAGGACAACAACACATCACGACCGCCAAAACCTTATGATAGTCAATGTGAAAGACTTAGCTAGTTCTACACAACAGAGTCAAGTTGGTTTGATGTATGTATTGTCTTTGCTTCTCAATCAATTCCCAACAAGAAACAAGGTACACATTCAGACGCAATTTCAAGAAACAGAAGCTCGTAGTAACAAAAAGAGTGAGAGAAGAGGGAAAGGGTTATCCAGATTTTCTTAGTGCCAGGCAAGGCTTGCGATTGTTGCTGGTTGAATTGTTTGCCTGAAGAAACGAGAGCCATATATATCTAAGTCGACTTAGGTTGCACGTCCGTTCATGTTAGAGAAGCGATGGTTATTTTAGGGTTTACTTTCAATGTATGGAAGATATGATGAAGTTTGGAGGGTTAAGGCTTCGCATTTATATAGAGCATTTTCCAAAGAAAAAATGTTGTACCACATACATTTTCAGAAACGTTGACTATTTGTTTGGTAATTAAGTAATTACTAGATATTTGCCCGCGCAATAGCGCGGGTTGGCTAATTCTTTTAAAGCATGTTGCAAAACAAAATCAATACACTTTTATTAGAAAAATAAATCAATAATTACATATAATTGATATGTTTTCAGTAAAATGTACTAAAGAATTTAGTTAAGCGTTACTTTTTGGAATTATATTGAACAAATAAGAGACAACAAATAAATTGGTTTCAAATAAATTTATAATCAACCCAATTGGTCAAATAAAAGGAATGGAATAAATAGTATTTGCTCATCTAAATATGAGAAATTATTTTTAGTTTTACATTTAAAATCAAAGACTGCAACTAATCAATCCTAATAATAAAGGCATTTACTTTCGAGGAACAAAGACTTTGAAATTTTCTCCAAAAAAAAAAGACTTTGAAAGAATTAGATTGTTTGAGTATTTTTCTATTGTTCTTGAGTGTCAATTGTCAAGTATGCAGAAGACTGATAATTTGTATTTGTATAAGGCCGTAAATTTTCTCAGTTGCTATAAATTTTGGACAATGTATATAGGAAAACTTAACAACTTACGGCTATAATTAGCTAAAATTCTTCTTTTAACATTGACTTTAATCACGCTCCCACAGTACCAACATGCCATCTTCAGATTCCTCAGTGAAAAGATGACCTAGCCTATCATTTGACCATTATAAACCAAAACATTCTTGCTGTAAAAACTCAAAAAAACATTGGAAGTCTCCATGGTTTAGCTGAAAGAAAAGTGTTAAAATATTTACGTTCATGTCTTAAATATACGCAGCCAAATCTTTTGCTCATTTGTTTCGCAAGAATAAAGCTATTGAGAAGAAGAAAAACAGATTTGTATAATGGAAAAGAGTAAGAGTGTACTTACATATGGTGTCCTATATACTTAATATTACCTCCGTATTCCATTTAGCAGTGGCTGCATTCAAAAAAAGAGTTTGAAAATTAAGGTATATACAAACATGCAGAAAAGTAGTTAAAATATTACGTTTGATCTATTCAGCTTTTTTTTTGTAAATAAGTCTTCGTTAAAATAGATCTGTTATAATGAACAATAAAAACAACAAAACTAAACATAATAGACTCAATATATCTAGAATATTTAATTTGTATATAATAGATTCGATATGCTCTGTTATATTAAAAAAAAAGATTTGTGAAGCACTCAGACCATAAGACACATATTTGTAAATACCACGTTGCCTCATCAAAGTTGTTGATACTGTTTTCCCCCCTGTAGAGTGTTAGGTTTTGATTGTCTTTCCATCTTCTGAAATGCATCACAGTAATATTATTAACTGATGGAATTTCGTCGAGTATGTAAAGGTTATAAAAATAAATTAGAGATTTTCAAATAAAAACATAAGAAAGAGAAGAGAGAAAAAAAATACCACTTATTTTCAGATTATGATGGTTCTATTCTTGTATTCCGTTTGTTGAATAGAAAAATTCTTCATTTGTTTTGGCTTTTCTTTTGCTGGATTGTAGATTGACCCAATAATACTTTGTTCTTGTTAAAGAGAGTTAGTCTTGTCTTCTTCCCTCCTGTTTTTATTGGAGAGGTATACACTTACACAAAAACGTTTTATTGCGCTTCCTCTGTCTCAGATTTACATATTTGGAGAAAAAAATATATTCAAATTACCTGAGTTCTTCTAAGACAAGCTTTGTTTCTAAGCGAAGTTTCATATTCAACTTCTGTCGTGGAAAAAGTAGAGAGAATAGTGAGATCCTGAAAACTGAAAAGAAAAAAAAAACAATATGAGATGATACACCAAATACTAATTTATCTTGGAGAAGAAACATTGTGTGTATTTGAGTAAAGAAAGAACATAGAATGACATCGCCAAAATATAAATAATGGAATGATGGTAGTTATAAAAGATTGATATGAATGGTGATCGTGGAGTGTGGCCATGAAGAACCGTTGGAAGAAGTTACGTGATTGGATTGTAAAGATCGTATATTACTCTTCACTTTTTGACTTTTTATTTTTTCTTTTATTATTTTCTACATAATTTGTAATTTTTAAGATATAAAATATGATCCATGTGTCGAAATCTGATTTGCCAGGCGACTTGCGCTTTAGTATATAGAGGATATTACATGGTCAATTTAAACCATTGACAACATAAATGTAGGGGATTGGATTGTTCAATGAGAGATTTAAGAAAATTCTGATTAAATCCAAAACAATCCAAGATTTGAATAAATCCTAAAACGATTTGTTGCAAGTTTTTTTGGGTTTTGAAGAAATTTCAGGGTTTATGGATTTTTTTAAAAATTTTATATATTTATTTCAAATAATATTTATTTTTAAAAATTACTATATTTTGATATTATCATCGTTTTATGAAATATATTAAAATATATAAAATTTTAAAAATTGATTTTGAAATATTTTTTTATTTCAAATATTTTTTTTTGAAAATGTGAAGTAATTTTTTGTTATTTTTATTGATTTTTTAAAATTTTATATATTTATTTCAAATAATATTTATATTTAAAAATTACTATATTTTGATATTATCATCGTTTTATGAAATATATTAAAATATATAAAATTTTAAAAGTTGATTTTGAAATATTTTTTTATTTCACATAATTTTTTTTGAAAATGTGAAGTAATTTTTTGTTGGTTTTATTTATTTTTTTAATTGAAAAAAGTTTCAAATACCATCATAGGAAGTAGTATTTGGTTTCCTTGTTTTTTCACTAGAAAATATGAACCAAATCCCATATGATAAATTTTATTGACAAAATCCATATTCTCCAATAAGCTGAAATTTTGGAGAATTTCTACAAATGGCTAATCCAATACTTTAATTTTAAATAGAATTTGTAAATACTAGATACAATAAGTTGGGTTTGAGAAAAAAAATCTCTTAAATCCCTGATCTAATAAGACCCCGTAATAATAGCATATTCTTCTTTACCCCCAACACCTATAGTTAGAAGTTTGAACAACCAAAATTTTAAATTTATTAATACTTATACTTTTTTTTTGGTTTTATAATATTATATTTGTAGATTGTGCATAGTAATTGTAAAACTGATATGCTCTCAGGGACAAAACTACTCAGCTCCAAATACATTATGTATCATTCAAAGTCGCAACCTTAATTTGCTTTCCTCTTCAATAATTCAACTGCATAATAACTTTTCAAGGAACTCAACCTATCGAAAGACGTGGTCTCTTTTACAACTTGGCAACCTCTTCCCATTTACCAAGCTCAGAGTTGTTATGTATAAGCATAGTGTAATTGTTATCTGTTGTTGGAAGTGTTAGATGGAAAGGAGGACGCAGGATCGATGGAGTTAGGATTGTTGGGGAAGAGTTCGGAAGAAGGCAACACAGTAGTATGAGAAACTTACGTACGAATTCGCCTCTTGTTTTGGTGGATATGCTGCAGCATATTTTGGATTACACGACAATCATGAAGTATGCAATGGCAAACATCTAAGGGCATCAGCATCAGTGAACCCCCACTTGGAAATCACCAATTGATTTTTTTTATTATTTTTTTTTATTTGATCTTTTTAAAAGTAAAAAAAATAGAAAAAAATAAAACTGATCAATCGTGGGCCGCCACGTGACGTGGAGCCCACGAAACAGTAGTGAACCATGTTCACTTCCATGAACCTCTACGGCCCAGGTTCACAAGTTATGCATTATTTTATTGTTTTTTTTTCTTGGTTTGTGTGTGAACCTTCCCCATTATCCTTTGATGGGGGTGCTCTAACACACTTCCATACTTGAAATGTAGAGAGAGAGAGAATTATCAAAACATGCATATTGTAATATATACAAAATACCCAAAAACATAAAATATTACTTAGATATATTCATATATATATTTCTGATAACACACTTTCATATCACTCGCATCTCTTTAGATCTAGAGAGCACATTATTGATACAAAACACCCATATTCATAAAGATAGATAAATATATATATATACGAGTGTTAATTTACTCCTTAGGACAAGTGTCTATTCCTTAGACAAAAGCATTTCGTCCATGTCTTTGGACAATTTGACACACATTTGGAGAAGATTCTCCGGGTGAGCCACGTTTTCGTTAATCCTCTCGTATGCTATGTGCCATTTCACCACACCTCCAGGTCCTCCTTGCTTCGGGTTCACATGCATCGTGAACAGTAAGCTCGTGAACTCTTTCATCAGATCTCCCTCTACCTCTCTAAACTGTATCATATTATTCTTTGGATCCATTGCCTCGATCTTCTCAGTGACCACCTGTGGCTTCCCATCTGTACCCAAAACGCAGTTTTTACCAGCGTCTAACAAAACAAATTATAGGTGCATGTATAAAAAAAAAGGGGTGTGCCTTTCCCCGGCGAAGGAATGTTAAATCACCAGTGACCAACGCGAATCGAACTGCAGGTTACCGTATTGGGTTTCTCCCTCAAATACCACTAGACCAACCCGCGTTGGTTAGGTGCATGTATAGAAGTTTTGCTTACCAAGAACATAATCCCAGGTGATGAGATTGCCAACTCTGCCCACATCTCCCTCTTTCACACTATATCCCTGAAGGAAGTCAGGAGTGGCTTCAGTCAGATCTTGTGGAGCTGTGAGCATGTGATAGAATTTCCTGGGCGGAGCTTTGATCTCAACATCTACCTCAAGCTCTCCTTGTAATGAAGGCTTCATCATCGCTTGTGCCATTTTTTTTCCAGATGATTAAATACTTCTCTTGTTTGGTTATAGAATGATAGTGAGTGAATGAGTACCTCTAAAGCTCATAGCCCCTTTTATAGAGCAACTGTCAACACGGTGGTAAATTTAGTGACAATTAATTTTATTGTCTGGTGATTTTTTTTAAAGACAAATTTAATAGCTGCACAGATTTATCACCTATTTTATTTAAAATATTATCGAATTATCTATCATCTAAAAACGTTTCATGCCTTGAGATTACTGATTAGCATTTGGTAATGCATGCTTCCATTTTCAGGTTTCTCCTATATTTTATATAAGTACCAGTTTGTTCTTTTGTGCCATATATGGAAAATCGACCACAACATTATGGTTGAAAATGTGTTAAAACTTCAGTTTCAAGAATCATTGATGTTGGTCCCTTAGTACAGTGAGGGAATCATACCAACTTGTTGATAACAATTGAAAGATTCTTGTACTCTATAATTGGGGGTATTGATTCAGTGATGTGTCTCCGCACCAAAGACTATATCCAGCAAAGATTTTTTTTTGTTTTTCGACAAAGGGATTTCTCCACCAAAGATAAAATTTAGAGCCATCTATAAGAACTTCTCAATAATAATATGGAAAAATGTTAGCCAGCTACACGAAGTATCACCCATCACATGGCTAACCATGCCAAATTTAATAATATATGGCCAGCTACACCAAGTATATGTTATGCATGCCAACATCCCCGAACTATATATGATGTTATGTAATCAACATCATTATCTTAATTAAATTCGAGCGTGAGTGACATGTGGATGTCCCGACCATAAATAAACGTTGTTAACTCTCTGGTTTAATTCTTCGGTTTAGGCAAATTTAAACCAGAATGAAAACCAGATAATATGACCAGACCAAATAAAATTGGGCCATATTTTTAATTCGTCCCAAATGCAATCCTATCTTCTCTCTTTCTTTTTCATCAGAAAGAAAATTTAGGGTTTAAAATTTTCACAAATCAGTGGGAGAAAGGAAGTTGGTGTTTGCTTCATATTTTAACAAATCGAGAAATATGAGTAGAGCAACTCTTAATTCTCAGACTTCTTTGGTGTCAAAAATGTCAGAGAGAAAGATCGTCTTCGGAATACTTTGGGTCAAGCTCCCATATGAAAACATTGAAGATATTAAGCCTCTGTGGAAAAATATAGATAAAAATAAGAAGAGATTGGAAACAACAGGTCGATGGTATAAGGAGGTGCACATATGTATTGAAAAAGATGGTTGTGAGAATTCAGAGTTTCTCTATTCTTCTTTCTCGATTTGTTAAAATATGTAGCAAACACCAAGTTCCTTTCTCTCACTGATTTGTGAAAATTTAAAACCTTAAATTTCTTGTCTTCGTTTCAAAATGAAAAAGAAGGGGAGGAGATAGGATTGACTCTGGGCCCAATTTTATTTGGTCCGGTCTTATTGTCTGGTTTCCATTCTGGTTTAAATTTGCCTAAACCGAAGAGTTAAACCAGAGAGTTAACAACTTTTATGGTCGGGGCGTCCACATGTCACTCATGCTCGACTTTAATTAAGCTAATGATGTTGATTACATAACATCATATAGTTCGGGGATGTTGGCATGCATAACATATACTTGGTGTAGCTGGCCATAAATTATTAAACTTGGCATGGTTAGCCATGTGATGGGTGATACTTCGTGTAGCTGGCTAACATTTTTCCTAATAATATCTAAAAGATCGAGCTTCTCGTATTCCACATCTCATATCACAACGACCTCTATATATCAACGCTTGGAACAAGCTCGGAATTATCTTGAAATTCTTGTATAATATAAATTTATAATTAAATTTATATGAGTATATAGTTATATAATAGTCAAAATAGGATACTTTTAATATATAATTTTTTTTTAAATGATGTTTTAGTTTTAGCTATTTTATTATTAATTTTCATGCATCATATTAATCCTTTTTACATTGGTCAAAATTTATTTATAATCAATATTGCTAATCTGTTTTCTGCTAGTCTTATAATAATTTAAATATTTTCAAGGTATGATAAAAACATAAAAATATTATCCGTAAAATGTTTACTGTAATTTGACTACCATTGAATCAAATAATCTAATTTTTAATTTTATAGTTCTCAGATTAAAATATGCTGATCAAGTTTTGAACATTAAAATTCAGAAATACCCATTTATAAATTAATACTAATCAATTTTAATTTTAATTTCTTATCTAATATCTATGTTTAAAGGAATTTTGTTAAAAATACATGGATTTGTGCTTTTTTATCCATACTCATTTAAATTTAATTTTATAATTTGAAAATATTTTTAAAAAGTTTTTCACTTATGTTAATCATTTTTTTATAATTTAATTATGTTCCTGGAATATATACATAAAGGTATTATATAGTTTCCATTTTAACATAAAATTTAATTAAGATTATTTTTATTAGAAATTACTTAACAATTACGAATTTGATTAATTATTCTAAATCTTTATTCATTATAATAGTTTTTAGCAATATTTTAATAAATTTATATTTTAAATAAAATAATACTGAAAGATATGATATACAATATAAATTAACTAGAAATCCATTCGATAATATTGCATTCAATTATAATATAAAAATAGAAATATTTTCAGTGAGATTTTTATAAAGCACATGTGAGTTTAAAAGCTTAGTTCCATAAAATAATTCTAAATTATTTATATATATAGAAATATTTGAAAAAAGCTAAATAAACTTATATACACTCTTACTAAAAAAGAACATATAAGAGAATTTTGAAGATTGATATCATTTATATTATACTTATACCATTAATAATATACTCCGGCTATTTCAATTTATTTGATGTTTAAAGAAATATACTTGTTGTAAATTCAGTGCTGTTTTCACTATTATAGATTAATATTTAATGTCGTTAATTGTGACCAGTTAGATAATACTTCTTCCGTTTCTGATTAATTGTCATTCTAGCATAATTTTTTTTGTTGTAAAATATATGTCGTTTTATGTTTTCAATGCAGTTTTTACTATTGTTTTATCTCTTTTATCCCTAATTAAACTAAGATAAATATTAAATGATATGTAATTTTAATGGTCGAACAAGGGTAAATCTGAATACTTAAATAGTTTTTAAATTTTAGAATGACAAATAATTTGAAACGGAGGAGAGAGTAGTATTTTTTTATAGTTGAATTAATTTTATTTAATTAAATTTTATGTAATCATTTTCTTAATCTTGTATATTAACTTGAAACACCAAATAAAATAATAACAGATGGATTAGTAATGTACATAGCTACTTATAATCAAATGTTACAGGTTCAATATACAATTAATTAAACGTGAGAGAGAGAGAGAGAGAGAGAGAGAGAGAGAGAGAGAGAGAGAGAGAGAGAGAGAGAGAGAGAGAGAGA